ACTGTCGTCTGATTGGTTTGTTTCTGCCGTTCCAGAGAGGCCATGACTTCTACGAAGGCGTTCGGGCAGGTGAGTTAGCGCTGCGCTACGCTGAGCGCCAGCGGCTACGTCCTGCTGCTCTGTAGAGTCTGTAGGATGTTGAAGAACCCAGGACAGAACCTGGGGAACTCCGCAGATAAGATAGTAAGAGCAAAATTAAATTGGTGCCAAAGGGTTGTAGTGTTTCTAGAGCAGATATAATTTTAAATGAATGTGGTGCTCTAGTGTTAGCTTATGTTGATGTAAGCATTTAGGATTAGTTTCTGCTACATGTTTGAATAGCCACTTAGCATTAGCTTCTGCTAAATATTGTGTTTGTGTAGCACTTAGCATCAGCAGAGCTAATGTTTATGATTTGAGCTTTAGGGTTGGTTAGCGGCGCTAACCACTGGTTCTGGTCCAAAGAAATCCACTCCAGTTCAGTCCAGTTTATTTTTTATTACAGTTGAATTTACAGTAAATTATCATGTAATTCACAGTCCAGTTTAAACCCAGTTACAGATTTTCACCAGTTGGATCCGGTTTGTTCCAGTTGTGCTCGTTGTTCTCTTCGTTTCCATCAGATTCAGATTTCAGTCTAAAATCAGCCTGGAGGGTTTATCAGATCTCGCTCTCGCGTTGCTCCTCGCCGCCGTTAAGCGATCTGCTGCTGATCACGCGACCCGGTGAAATGTCAGGAATCTCTCTGCCTCTCCAGTTCTGATCGACAAAGACCAGAACCCGCGCTGGAGGCCGCCGTCGCTGGACCAGGTTTCTGACCGCTTCGTGGACGACTGTTTCGCCTCGCTGGGGGAGAAGGACCTGAGGTTCTGACCAACCCACCGCCGGGCCTCGTCTGAACCATCAGAACCAGACTCCTGGATCGGAGCAGCTCTCTGGAGCCAGCAGAGGAAGTGACCTCACCGCTGAGTGCTTTATGACATTTCCCCTGGGTGTTTGCTGATGCCACTCGGATCGCGCTCATCTGTTTCCTGGTTTCTCTCTCCTAGCACAAACATTCATGATTTAGTTATTTTTTAATTATTAATAATGCAGCAACAGGATTTACTAGTGACTGTAGAGAAATCAAATATAGTTTCATTAAACTGAAATCTGTTTTCTGGTTTATTTCTAATCAGCTAATTGCTCTGTGGTGAAACCACTTTCCCAAACATGGCGTCTCCATCTCTGCATTATTTATGAGTCAGAAGCAGAAAGCAATAAAAAAAGTTTATTACATAACCGACATTTTTTCAAGGTAAAAACAGGAAGTGATGTGTTTGCTTGTCTTATTTTAAAGTTTAATTATTGTCTGCTGCTCACCGGATCCTGGAATGTGATCAAAATAACTGAAAATAAATCAAATAAAATCATAAACAGCTTCATTTATGGTATCAAAACCAGAAATGTGCGCCAGTCACAGCATTCCTATCGCAGCAAACTAAAACTTTAGCATTAGCTTCAGCTGCTAACTTCTTGGTAACCATCCCCCTGCCTGACGTCGGTCCAGTTTCTCCAGACGTGAAGCTCTGGTCCGTCTGTCCAGATGGTTTCTCCAAACTAAATATTTAGTTTTCGTATTAGTTAGCAAGCTAAATATGTAATTTAGTTACTAAGTATTTAGTTTGGCTGTAAAATTAGTTTGCTATCTTAATATTTAGCTTGAGATTTATTAGCTGCAAGCTAAATATTTAGTTTTTTAAATTATTAGTTAGCAAGCAAAATGTTTGTTACTAAACCTTTAGTTCTTGATCTAAATATTTAGCTTACTAAATATGCGTTAACAATCTAGATTTACTCTTTGAACCAAATTAGTTTGCTATCTGAATATTTAGCAAGCTAAGCTAAATATTGTTTGCTAAATGTTAGCTATCCTAAATATTTCATTTAAAAGTATTTAGTTTGTTTTCCAGTCACAGCTGTCCTGATGCTCCGAGCCCCAAGCATCAGCCTTCCACCGCCGTGCCTGGAGTTTGGCCCGTCTCCTTGTCCTGGCAGCCATTTTGTTTTTTTTGGGACGTTTGCTGCTTCACGTTGGTGAATCAGTGAAATGGAAGGTGTGTTTACGTCCTGCTGGCAGCTTCCTGTTCTCACCTCACAGGTGAGTCTCACCTGAAGCCGTTTTAATGCTTCCTCCACCGTAAAACTGACGCTCTGCAGCTGTAAATCCTTCTGTTTGTCCTTCGCTCAGCCTGACCTTTGACCTGCTCTGAAGCAAACACTCAGGCTGAAGGCATGACTTGTTTATTGGCAGCAGATTTTCCACATGCTGACGGTTCAGCCTGGAGAAGAGGAGGAACCGTTCCTCCTGATATTCACTCACTCCTCTCATCATGACAACCAAAAACTGAAAACAATCATCGACCGTCTCAACGTCCGACTTTATTTACCTCAAAACATTAAATATTGTAATTAGTGGGAAATCTTTAGTCAAACCAAAAATAAAATTTTATGAAATCACATAATTTTTAGGCAGGTTTGTGGAACTGGCCCTTTAAAACCTCCAGGGTTTAGTTCTGCAGGTAGGAAACTAAAGGTGAGCAGAAACTACAAAACTAAAATCTGAAAATGTTCAGTTTGTAAAGTTATAGTCAAAAATTAACAGCAATAATTAATCTGTCAGAAAAAAGGGTTAATTTTTCAAAGTCTTATTTTCACCATAATTTATTCAGAAATGTGAGTTTAGTCAAATTAAATACTTAATTTTAAAACTTTACTAATTTGGAGCTAACAAATATCTGTCCAAAGAATTTTTTTTAGTTAGCAAACTAAATATTTAGTTTCCAACATTAACTACATACTTAGTTAAGTGTTTAGCTCGTTGCTCAAAGCAAGTGTAAATATGTTGTTAGCGAGCTAAATGTTGCTAACTAAACATTTAGCTGAAACTGACATTTATGAATGAACAAAATGGAGAAAATAACTTAGAAAAATGAATGTTTGTTTTTATCTTTTGAAACTCAAATTATTGCTGCTGCGAGAAAAACTTCAGGAAACTCAAATGGCTTTTTTTTATGGGTCCACAATTTTTCTCCTCAACAGTTAAAATTATTTCACTTTTTTATGTTTGTTCCTGAATTCATCCCTCACCAGACTCACTGGCATAACCACAGGTTTTATTCCTGAAATGTAAATTATGATTTGATTACAAATGATCTTCTATAGTTTTTCTTTTGGAGCAAAGATGAGGTATGAAATAAAACAGTTTATTCTCAGATATGTGATTTGCTACAAACAGAAACCAACATGAGTCCCAACAGAAATCCTTCCCTGGCCTCTAAGTGGCCCGGCGCCACACTTTGGACACTGCTGCTCTAAAGCTGCTGATTTTGTGTTTTGTGCAGAAACATTTACTACAGAGCTGATTCCTGGAGAGGATTTTTGTTTTTTCTTGGCTCAAAAAGTTATAAAGTTTTCCAAAACAGAACATAAATGGCCTTTAATGAAAAGGCTGTAGAATAAAACCTCGTTCCTGTGCCCGTTATGAGGTCGACGTGTTTTTTTCCTGCAGCTTTGAGTCGTTTGGATTTGTGGAGCATTTCCCTCCGATCCTCCGCTGGTCTCAGGCCAGTTTCTGCTGCTCCACTTTAAATAACTCTGAGCCGACAGTTTGGATCCGAACGGGAAAAACATTTTCCTAAAGCTTCTGATGGAAGGCTGAAGTTTTAATAAAGATTATTGATCTTTAAAACTCCCTGGAGACGCAAAAATCACACGATGCCAGTCGGACAAGAGGAGAGAAACCATCACCAAATGAAACCTGATTTATTTTAAACAGGCGGGAATTTAACGCCACAGAACAGTTTCAAGACCAGAAGACATTTAAACTATTTCCTGTGGCCTTTTTGGTTCATTTTAAGGTTTTTATGACCATGAAGGCATAAATGTTTGACAGATTTTGCCTCTGAGGTCTCAATCTGGATGAACACCGACAGAACCCGATCTGACTTTGACCCAAACGGGGCGGCATATTTAACCTGAGCTGAACTTTTCTAATTTATTCTGAATTTCTTTATATTTTCCTTCCAGATTTCTGGATGTTTTTCTTTGGACTTTAGCAGTTTTATTTTTTTTCATCAGATTTTTTTCTGTTTTTTGTTTGTTGAAGCCTCTGACCTCTGATGACCCAATTAGACATGAAACGAATAAACTTCTTCCTGTTTCTTCAAATAAATCCATAAAAAATCCCAAAATTAAACCGATTTCTAGTGGAGAATTTTTTTTCCACAAATTGTCTAATTATTTGATTTATTATAAAAAAATCATATTTATATCTTCAAAATAGGGAATTTAAAATCCAACATGGCTGCTGTAACAAGAATAAACATCCACTTATTTCATTCAGCAAATACTAATTTAAATATTTGGAAATGTCTGACATGATTAGCTCTTCCAAGTTATTCTTCATATTGTTTGTTTCTCTGCTGGAGATCTGAGTTTTCTGTTTGGCTGCCTGTTTATCAGAGTTTTGATATTTTTTCATCCCACTGAGCGAAAATAAAGTCAGATTTCAGTCATTTTGTGAATTTAAACATTTTTAACCATCAGGTTTGTAAGTTAAAAAAAAAAAAAAAAAGCTCATAAAACCCAAAGAAAAACTTTGTAAAGTTTCAGTAAGTCTGGAAAACGTTTGATGACGACGGGATTGAAATGTTTTTAGTTCCAGTCCTGAAACTCGTTTTCAGGTTTTGGTTGGAGCTAAAATCCTCTTTTATTTTTGTCAAACTTTGTTTTCTTTGGTGTTTTTCATCAATTTAACAAAAGAAACGGAAGAAAAACTGAACCCATCAACAAAGCCCGTCTGTCTGAGCAGACGGGTTCAGACTTTTCCACAGTGGGTATTTGGTTGGTTTGGTTGCCGAGTTTCCTGAAGCAACCAGGGGAAGTTTATCACCAACGTATCAATGGCGGCACAAAGTTCACGTTCTCACAGCAGGTCTTCAGGCTCAGTTCCGATATTTCGCTAAAATCCGATTTTTTTTCTGCATATTCGTTTGTTCGGTGGATTTGGACCCGAAGCGGTGCGTTGGGATGCGCCTCACCAGCTGCGGTTCTATTCGCCTTAAAATTATGCAAACTGGAACTACAAAAATAAATTGACTCAAAGGAAACACACCAATTTGGAAAAAAACGTTTTTCAATAGAAAGTTTTTGCAAAGTTAGTATATTTACTGCAACGGCAACACGCAAGATCAACAACAGGAAGTTACTACTGGAGGAAATGAAGAAGACAACAGGAAGTGGTCTTCTTCATGTGAATTTAATTTTCTTTATTTAATGGAAATGACTCTAATGAAATTGTATTTTTAAAAGTTTTCCAACTGACTCAAACTTCTTTCATCAATTCATAATTATAATTTTCATTGTTTATGTCCAGATTTACATCTTTCTTCTTCTGGTGCAGAATTATGACGTATGTTCACCTCATCGACGTAAAAGTCAAATAAAATATGACATGCATTGAGATGCTTTGGAAATAATCAGATTTATTTTTTAACAAACTGGTGAAAGATCGGAATTGGGTGAATTCACCTGCTGTGTGAACATAGCCAAAGTGGACGAACCAAAACCGAAACGTCTCGTCGGTTCGTCCAATGAGTCAAAGTTCCCAATCTGGAGAGCGCATCGTCAGCGGCCCAGAAGGCCCTAGTGGCAGAGGGCGGAGGTTAAGGCGAAGTAGTGGCAGTGAAAGAAGCTCCAGAGAGAGTTTCCAATCTAGGGTCAAGGGTCAGACGGGATTCCTGGGTTCACCGGTAATCTTTCACCTCATTGTCACAGTCCGGATCAGAGCGCTTTGGTCGGTTTGGAGGAAGGTTTCAGGACGAATCTCGTCTAGTCAGAGCGGATTCCCGTCGACTAATCCGCCGCCAGGCGTGAAGGACTGAAGGTTCCCGTCACGGAACGTCACACTCGATGTAGGGGATGTCGCTGTAGCGGCTGTCCACCTCCAGCCACTGCTGCACCGCCCGCGCCACAATGTCCTCCGACAGCCGCTGGGCGTACTCCAGCAGCACTGCGTTCACCTGCGGCGAGCCGTCCGCCAAGCCCGGCGTCGACCCGCCCACCAGGTAGGCCTTCTCGCCCGCTGGCTTCCCCTCGGTGGAGTTGGCGTGCTGGGAGGCCGCGGCGCTCCGCTTGGATTTGACGCAGCCCATGCTCTGGAGGCGACCTCGTCTTCCTCCGTCTGGGAGATTTCAGCTGCTGTCATCCACTGGATTCCATCGCTGAGAGCCAAGCTGGGCGATCAGAACATCCCGCTCCGTCCGACTGAGAGGCTCATGCTTCAGCTGTGGGAAACAAGAGGAAAGAGATCACTGGTTTATGTTCCAGAAGGTGACTCAAGTGAAATCTGTTTCAACAGAAACAGATGAAAAGCTTTTAGAAACCTCAAAGTGGACGTAAAATCCCACGTTTGACTAGAAAATTCGTTTCGTTTCAGGAGGTTTGAACACAAACTGGTCCGTCTGCAAACCTCTACCTGGGTTTGTTTGAAGTGAACTCTGGTGCGGTTTGAATGTGAAAGTCAAGCGGACTACAGTGCAGGGCATCCTGGGTAAATCCAACCAAAGCTAGCGTGCTAGCATAGCGCTAACAGGAGAAATGGCTCATTGTCTTTAGCCAAAGACTAAAGAGAAATCTGCTAAAATCTGACGCCACTCCATTTTTGTTTGAAAGAAGGTTTTCAGAGGTTTTTGTGTCATTTCCTTCAGTGGTTCTTGGTGCAGCGCCCCCACAGGCCAGGAGGGGAACAGGTTGCTCAAAGGGTTTGGTTGGTTTGCGAAAGCAGCAGCTGGAAATGGAACAAATGTTGCAGTTTTGGTCCCAAGTCAAACCTAATCTACAGGATGACCAGGGAGCTGAAGGGAGGAGGGGAGGGGGGCGGACTGGAGGTCAAGGCCTCCCCTCACCCTCTGTCCTGGAGAGTTTTATGACTCAATCCCTCTGCCTGTGACAGTGTGGCGCGACACCGAGCAGTGTGTGTGTGTGTGTGTGTGTGTGTGTGTGTGTGTGTGTGTGTGTGTGTGTAAGCCTGTGTGTCCCATCTGTTCCTCTGCAGCCTGATTCTCCCAGCATGCGCTTCATTCAGGGATCTTCCTCCACGCAGGGTGCAGGCCATCAATGATTTACATGCGGAGTGTGTCTGAGTGGGCGTGGGGGGCTTCTGACCCCATTAAAGAGCCGAAAGGTTATCAAACATCAGGCAGACGAGGTCACAGCAAACGCGAGTCTCATACAAACATGTTGGTGGAAATGTGATCCAGCGGAGCTGTACATACTTTTATCTGCGTGAAGGTGAAGGAAAGCGATCCCACTCCTCTCAATTCCCGGAAAATCCTCCCGTCCACAGCAGGAACAACGCAAGGTCGTTCAGGGATGAAATCCTGCACAAGCAGTCCAATAAACCAGCAAAATCCCAGATCCGGACCCAACTTGCCTCTTCTGTGGGTTGTTGTTCTGGATGAAGCGCCGCTTCGTGCCAGATTTACAGATAATCTGAGCGGGTTTAAACCGAGGGAACAATCCCGGGATGCTGGAGGCTTCCTCCGCCGCCAGCAGGTCGCTGTGCGGCCGCCGGAGCTCCGCAGCAGACAGGGAGGAGGGAGAGGCGGTCCGGAGCGGAGCGGATCTCCGCCGAGGCGCAGCGGCGCTCTGGATGAGTCCGGGGCGCAGCGCGCCGCGCCGCTGCGGCTCGGCGCGGCGCGCTGCTGCCCCCTGCTGGACGAACAAACAGCCCGGGGCTGGAGGGCCGCTTACAATAAAACCCAAACAACGTTCACACCGTGACGATCCACTGACGGACACAGCAGTAATGCGGGTTATTTAGCAAAAAAAAAAAAAAAAAAAATCAAGGTCATATTTTCACCAAGTTAATTTATAAATGTCAGTTTGGGTGAATATTTAGCTTGGAGATAAATATTTAGTAACAGAGATTAATATTTTTTAGCAAACAAAATATTCAACTTCAAAATAAACATTCATTTGTAAAGGTATATTTAGTTGAAGTTAAGTTCTTAGCGAAATATTTTAAATATAAAAACAAAATAGTCAAGCAAATATTTAGTTTCAAACTAAATACTAAACAAGATACATATTTATATATTTACATACATACCGATTTCCCAAGGATTTAGCTTCAAACTAAATATTTAGTTTAAAGCTAGATATTTAGCTACTGGATAAATATCTGCCTTCAAACTAAATATTTACAAAGTAAGTTATGCATTTATTGCACAATTTATATTTAGATGGTAGATTAAATATTTAGCTTGGCCACTAAATATGTAGTTTGAAGGTAAATATTTAGTTTCTAAATAGATATTTATTGAACAAGTGAAATATCTGATCAAATAGTTTTACACTTGAATTTTCCTTCTGAGGGAAATAAATTATATTTCTGCTGTAAGTTTGTGGTTTTAAGGTAACAAATATAGAAAAGTTAAACAGATTCAAAGGCTGTGAAACTGACTTCTTTAGTCTGACTTTTATCATTTTCTATGTGAATTTTGTTGGTTTTAGTTCTTAAAGTTTAGGACATGACAGCAGGTGCTTCACTTCCTCCACCAGGTGGCAGCACCTCCCCATTCTTTTTAAATGGCGGCTGTTTTTCTTGACCACGAAGCTTTAAAGTTCACTCCGACCCACATTTCTCTTTATCTTCAAAACTCCAAACACCAAATCATCCCAAACTGTTACTTAGTTAAGCTTTATTGGAAGTTCAGGATTACCACAGATTAAATCAGTAAACGGGTTATGAAGCAGGACTGAGCCGATTGCCTAATGACCGACATTCCACAAATCTCAGAAGCATCATGTTTCACTCCTCGGTTACATAATCAGACCATTTGTCTCCCAGACCTTCAGGTTTTTGTAAGCGGATCATTAGAATAAAAGTTAAACAGAGGGTGAGGCTTTGTTACGACATCTGTTTTATTCTCCTGTTTTTCAGAAGAACAGCCGGAGGATCTTTGGCTTGAAGGGCTCCAGTTTGCTGGGATCCACCTGCTTCATGGCGTCCTGCGCCCCCAGGATGACTTGGTGGGCCTCGTCGAACAGATCCTTCCCGATGGAGGCCTGCACTCGGTCCCGCCAGGCGCTCAGCTTCGGTCGACCCTCGAACACGTCCAGCCCGGCGCCCAGCGGCTGGAGGACAGGAGAAGAAGAGAAACGTTACCGTGTGTCAGTCAGGCGGATAACTAAAGTTTTCGCTCAGAACAAAATACAACATGAAGGTTTCCTTCTGAGCTTTTTGTGTTTAGTTAGCTTGTAAATCTTTAGATTGCTAAATAAATATTTGGCTCAGAACTAAATATTTTGAGATTATGAAGCAGTTCAGTGCAAAGTGGAGCAAACATTCATCTGATAGCATCACCACTGCTGACTTAGCAGCAATTCTTCATCCTCAGGAAGTGGTAAGGAATCACTTCCTCTTCATGCTTCAATAACGTATCATCAGCAGGAAAAACATCAGTAAAGCCTGGATAAGGTACCAGAGTCACGTCGTCCTTCAGCTGAACTTTCCTGTCTGATAAACAGAAACGCTGAAAAGTCAGATTCAGGTTTGAGCTCAGAGAAGCATCGCATTTCATACATTCTGTTAACCAAGTAATTAGCTCTGAACTAATAGGAAAAGTAGTTAGCTAGCTTAGTTAGCAAGCTAAATTTGGGCTTGCTCATTAAATATTTATCTTGCTTTAACTCAGTGCGAAATATTTTTTAACAAGCAAAAATGTTTAGCTTTCTAACTAACAAGTTAACTAACTTTTTACCTCGAAGCTAAATATTTAGTTAGCAAACAAAAATATTTAGCTTAGAGTTAAACACTGGCCTGCCAGCAAAAACATCATGTTAGTAAATCATTTTTTGTTTGCTAATTAAATATTTAGCAAGCAAGAAAAAAATTACCTCAGAGCTAACTAGCTAGCTAACTTAATTTAGAACACAGTTAAATAATTAGTTGGCAAGAAAAAAATATTTAACTCAGGGCCAAAATATTTACTTAGCAAGCCAAACGTTTAGCTAGCTAACTCAAACTTTTTATTTGTTACTGAATGTTTAAACTGGAGATAAATATTTTGCTCCAAATATTAGCAAACTGCATGTTCAGCTTGCTATCGTTTACTAAATATTTAATAACTGAATATTTGCTTTGCTATCAGAACTTGTTTCCAGGCTGAATTCCTGGTCTCACCGACCGACGGATCCTGAAGGTTTTCATTGCTGCTTCGCTCTGCTGTTAGCCAGACAGCTAGCTGCTCGGTTTGGCTCGTCATGAGGATTCATCAGATGGTAACAGATCTTTAGAAATCACTTTCATCCCTCGTTTTTTAAATTTTAGGTCAATTTAATGAGTGAGAAGCAGTTGGAAGGACCTTCAGGAAGTCTGGAGAATGTCCAGAGCCAGGATGGTGTCAGCCTCCCTGGATAAACACCGACAGGAAATCCCCTCCCTCCAGAGCAACCAGCTCCTGGTTCTGGCCCAGTTAACCCTTTCAGCTCACCTGCATGATCTCCACGATGGCCACCAGGTCGGCCAGAGACATCTGGTCCCCCACGATGAAGGGCCGGTCCTGGAGGAAGTTCTCCTCGATGAGGGTCAGCGAGGCGTTCAGGTCCTCCAGCGCTCCGTCCATCTTCTCCTTCGGGACGTCGATCCCCATGATCTTAGGAATCATGACCTGCAGACAAACATTCATTCTCCATAGCAACCATTCAGCTGACTGGACCTAGCCCCGCCTTCAAGGCGCAGCTCCTTCAGACTAGCCACCAGCAATTAGCAAACATCTGCTGAGCTCATTATAGCTCAATAAAAACATTAAAGGGTTAATAGAGGAGCCATTTTGGGACGATTTCCTGGAGGTGGAGCTACTTAAAGAGGCAGAGACCCAATCTCAAGGATTTAAATTATGAATTCATATTTTATATAAATATCATTTTTAAAACAACTGAAGGCAACATATTATCTTGATTGTGCTATAAAGTGGATCTATGTGCCTGGCCCTTTAAGGCGTCCTGGGCTGAACCGGTTCTGTCTGAAGCCTTTGACCTGGTTCTGGGTCTCACTCTGGTTCTCTGGTTAATAACTGATCAGATCAATAATCACTGATCGCAATCAGTTTTCTGCCTTGTTTGGCTTCAAGGAGCAAAAGTTCAGTTGATTTACTTCAGGCATAAAATAACAGAGATAAAACGAAGTGAATATTTTGGCCATATGAGACTCGAAGCTGCTAAACTTCAACGTTTAATAGATTTAATCATATTTTATCTGTGTATATCAACATGTGAATAATTATTACACAGCTTCTTTTCTTTAGGAAAAAATGGGAGAAAAATTGATTTAACAAAATCTGAAAAGTCAAAAACGACCAAAAGTCTCAGAGGGATGAAGCATCGGGTCAGAACCAGCAAACGTTTTGCTGCTAAAGGTCAGCAGGGTCAAACGAAGGACGGTCCTTGGGACATTTTTTGGGGAAATTTGTAACAGCTGATATTAAGAATATCTTGGTTTTTATTCAGTTTCTTTTTATTTTAGTGCCAATTTTACTTTATTTTTTAAACCAGACTAAAGCCTTTGCTAAAACAGTCTAACTGTTGATTAAAACGTGTCTTTGTCCTGAACTGGAACCAGTTTGGACCAGTATGAGCGTGGGGGTTTGGGGAACCTACCCGCATCCAGTACATCTTGGAGCCGTGCATCCGGATGGCCATGTGCTGCCAGGACAGATACTCGTTGACCCGGGAGCGCAGCCGCAGGTCGGCCGGGAACCAGTGTTCCGGAGTCTGGAACTTCTCGGCCAGGTAGAGCATGATGGCGACGCTGGAGGAGAGCGGCGGCTCGTCAGGACGCATCCGGACGGAAACCGCCGCTTTCAGCAAACACTCACCTCTCAGCCAGGCAGAAGTCTCCGTCTCGAAGTGCTGGAACTTTTCTGATCTTGTTGATTTTCCCAAATTCATCTCCAAAATGCTCACCTGGAACCCAAACAAACATGGCAGACCAGCAGGAAACCAGGCAAAACGAGACTTCCTGGAGGAAGAGGAAGTCTGCAGGGAACGTAACAGCTGCACCGATTGGCCGATACTTAGATAAGAGACCCATCCCATCAACACCCACAAACATCTGGAAATCCACCTCTGTCCAATTCTAACATCAGTTTCTGACTTACCGACTTTTCAGACTAAAAAAAAAAGTTGATATTGGTCCAAATCAAAGTCAACAGATGAGGTTAAAGGTCGCTGCAATCGGTGCAGCCCTAATCACAATCAACAGTTATTTTAGTAATCGATTATACTGACGATTAATCAGATTTTTAAAATGACACGTCTGGCTGATTTTTCATTTAAGCGTTCTTTAAGTACATTTAAAGCTGCAAATACATTTAAATCCATTTTTATATAAGAAATAAAAGATTTTTATACCTAAAATGCAACAACAGCATTCATTTAGTAAACAATCATCTGCAGCAAAAGATGCATCTGCAGTGAAAATTACTCATCCAGTTATTAAATTGTGGATTAATATTTGGATGGCAACGTGTATCATTTTATTTAGATCCCAGCCAGCATGCCTAGGTGGGACCCATGTGGGGCCACAGCCCACATGGGTCCTACATGGGCAAACCCATATGGGACCCATAGGGTCTGCCCTCCTTTTCCCCACATGGGGCCCACCAAGGCATGCTGGCAGGGATAGCTCATTTTCAGCAACAATGCAATTCAAAGTGGAAGATTTTTAAATAATATCTGAACCAAGAGAAGCTAAAACTGTAACTTTAGGAGTTTTAGGT